ACCTTCAAATAAGTAAAACAATTCTTTTTTAGTGTTCTCATAGTATTAGTTTTATATTCAGCTAACATTTGCATTCTACTTTATTTGAACTCTGTAAAGCACGATATGTATCAAATGCATTTACTTCTCAAAGTCTCATGCTAACAGTAGCTACACAGTGCTGGTTTTTGTCATGAGATCACATAACACTCCTACATTTACCTGCCAAATCTGAAGCATCATCATGACATCACTGTGTCTCTAGTTACGTTTAATTTGTACCTAGCGAACTACTCTAAAACAGACCAATCATGTCGTTGGAGGCGGGCCCACAATGCAAAAGTGTTGTTTTGTAACACTAACACTAAAAACTGCATCTAAAATGTTTTTTATGCCCTTTGTTATATCACCAAATAGCTATAGAGTTTATATTGTTGAAGGTTGAACAACTTACCTCTATAAGGGTTTTTCTTTCAAAAGGAAAAGTTTGTATTTGCATCATATGTGTGGTTGTCTGATTGGTTGTAAACCAACTATAGAGATAGCTCAGGATAACCTGAGCCACTCTAACTAGAAGCTTTATCAAAAAGGAAAGTTTTAAGCCAAGCCTTAAAAGTAGACAGCTCGACAAGAAGCACATTTGATCTGAACTTCATTCATTTCTGTCATCCACAGGGTTCTAAGGGACCTCCTGGTGAAATGGGCCTGCAGGGATCTCCGGTAATATCTAAACTTCTGGTGGAGGTCGTGTTGGTTGTAAATTCCTAATATAATCCCTGTGTTTCTCTTAGGGCGAACAAGGCTTACCTGGGCCTCAGGGGCCACCTGGTCTCAAAGGAAACATGGTCAGTAGTAACTTCTTTTTCAACATTTTTATTTTATTTTGTATTGTATATAATCTGTGTAAACAAAATGACAATACAAATATATATTTTTTTCAGCATTCTTTTAGAAGTTATCAGATATTTGTCTTATTTCTGTTTATTGAAAACAATTAGAATTCAAAACATGAACAGATTATTATTGTCATTTCCTTGAAAATCTTCCCTGCTGCTAGTAAAGGTGTGTAAAAAGCTTTAAATGATTGAATAAAAAAAAAAAATCTCAGGGGGAAAATTTATTAGCTTGTAATATACAGGTCTGAACACAAGATGGCAGCAGAGACCCAAACACTGCTCCGACTTCTCTGAGCTCTTTATTAGTAATCAAATCCCAAACTTAACACTGATGATCCTAACTGCATTAGTTAGATAGATGTTTAATGAGTGTGGGTTCTATTAATAAACACAAAAATAGATTAAATTTGCCACTTCCTTTTTGGGTGTGTGGGGGGGGGCAATTTAATTTAAAGAATTTAACCTTTCTCAAATCCTCATTCACAGATTTCCCGTTTTGTCTCGGTGGTATCTGCATGGACCTATAGAATTGTTGCAAACACTGAAATCTGCAAAAACAAAATTTGAAAAGGTTGCAAAAAACTGTTGCTTATTTGTAACATTCAAGTCTGAACACAAGAGGGCAGTAGAACCCTGAACACTGCTCTGACTTCTCTGAGCAAGTTAATCGTCTCTATATACAGTAGGGGTGTGCATGAAGACATGATGGTAAGCAGAATCTCTCTGTGTGTGTGTGTGTACTAATTTTTCCTACATGGTGGGGGCTATATGAATGCATTAATATCACTTTACTCTGTCATAAAGACCCAATCATTAAAGCATTTGATGTTATTATAAAACTGTTTTGCATCCTGCAACTTGTCCTATTTGTGCTCCTTAAACTGAGGAAAGGTTATTACTGACTCTTTAAAGCAATCTCTCAGCACAATACCTATTAATGACATTTTCACAACCAGTTCTACACGTTTAACTTTACATACTTTGAATAATTAAAGTGGTCTCATGACAGCCAAAGTTAAGGAGTAATGTAAAGTTAACACAGATTAAAAACTTATTAAAGGTTAATAATAAGTCCTGTTATGACATATCTATGATGGTTTATGATTTCTTGGTTATTGCCTAGTAGTTATTACAGTTAGATTTTTGGTTCTGTTAATATAAATCTGTAATAAATGATTTTAAATTGTCAATTTTGCATCTAAACACGTGAAGATTCTCAGTCATCCAGATCAAGCTTGAAAAGTTCAGTTTAGGCAACTGAAGTTTTCTAGAAGACGTTTCTCTTCTCATCCAAGAGGCTTTTATTGTTTTAACTAGTAGAGGGGAACTGAGATTGCATTGCATTAAAAGTATCTAATTTAACAAATTACTCTTAATAAGCATTCAGAACTGGCAGTCCCTGACAGGTGTTACACTATGCTGATGACAGTGTGATATCAATCTTTGCACAAAGCTTTAAAAGAAAGATTACAGAGAAAATAATAATATTGACCTTTTAAACTTGTGCAGTGCGCCTTTACAATTAGTGCTGATGTTTTAGAGATAACAAAAAGGTTATGGCTGAATTCAAAACATTACTTCCACTTTATTTTATGCAAACTACTGATGGTGCAATATAGGAGTGTAGAGGGAAAATTAGAGGATATTGGCATTGATTTTAAACAATGTCAAGTTTGGATTTAAACAGCCATAATTTCCATTAATGATAATAGTAATAAACATGCCTGAAGCCTCCTTCTTGTTCCTGACAGATTTTATGCTATGCTGAAGACAGTGGAATTTCAGTCGGCCAACATGTTTCCTCTCTCTCCCTATTTCCCTAATCTTTCCTCATCTGTTCCCTCTCTCTTTCCAGGGAATCCAAGGACCCCAGGGTCCACCTGGAGAGATCGGTCAAGATGGACCCAAGGTCAGTGATAAGTAGTTATCATAATAACTCTTTCTTTGTATTTTATATATGTTGAAGTTGAACCCTTTTTATTGATTTTTTTATTACACTTAAAGCTTTTAATAGAGGCAAACATGTTTTTATAATTTTTCCATGAATTCTTTATAGAGTTACACAGCAACAAACAATTCTAATATTTTATCACACTTGACACTGCAAGGTTTTTTAGCAAGGTCTGCATCTTATTAAGGCTGAAACAGCTTTTTAACGTTACTGTTAGATTCTATTTCCTGAGCATTGAAACTCAGAGAGAAACTGTTCAAATGCTTATATTCTAAGGACATGAAAATGGTTTCCTAAAACATGGCCAAGCTTTGCAGACGGAGACACCGTAGAGCTCCAGCATGCATGAGAGTCAATAAGATTATAAAGGAGTTTAGCCTTTATTCTCTCCAACTTGCATGTTGATCAGGTTCCATGGGCTCAGTGGGGGAGTGTTGGCATAGTGTTTAGGTTGCAAGTACACTGTTCGATTCCCACAGCCTCCACTCTGGGTCCCTAAGCAAGACCCTTAACCCCACACTGCTCCCCGGGCGCTGCACAGTGAGATATAACCAATAACTTCATTCCAGGGTGCCTGTTGTTACAAACCCACTAAAAGCAAATAGATGATGTTTAGTTGGTCTTATTTTCCAGTGTGCCGGTCACTGAGAAGGTTACAGATTGAACATGTGATCCAGATCTTTATGGATGAGGTTAAGAATTTTTCTCCTTCCCTTTTCAGGGGAAGTGTGGTGATCCAGGAGTTGCCGGTCCCCCTGGTCTTCCAGGACTAAAAGTGAGTAAAGATTATCTTCTGGGTGTCAGAAATGTAACTAGTCTCAATGTATTTAATGTTTTTGAAGTCACTTAATGCTGGTAAAAACAAACATTTCACAATGTTTTTTTACATTTAGAACCAAAACCCAATGATAACATCAACTGGTGTCTTTTTAAGAAACTCGTGTTTTAATATTCACCTACCGTAATTTATTTATCTATTCCAAAAAAATCACAGATTGATGAAAGTAATATTGCGCAAACATAGAGATGCTTTGTTAGAGAAATTTTCAGTCAGCAGATGATGGTCCTAAAAATCCCCTTAGACATACAGCAGGGCCAAAAAGTATCTATTCATCCACTGATTGTTGGGACACTGTAGCTCATGTCAGTTTTACTGAACAACCAAGAGACCCTTTAATCAGGGAAAAACACACTTCCTTCTTATAATGTTCCAAGCACAGAAAAAAACACTGTGGAGTGTTTACCTTCTCCCAGTCTCATCTGACCTGCTTCACTCACTTTGAAAGCATCTCAGGATCATTAAGAAACTGAAATAATCCGACACAATTCTTAGGGTGGCTGAAGCAAAATGCTGTGACACAACATAAAGGCATAACTGTATGGTAATCCAACTTCAGTAGCTGTCAACAAAATCCTTTCCACCTTCTGCCTCAGTCTCTATGTAGTGCTAAAGTCCTCTGGATGACAATGTTTAAAAGACAACTACAAAAAAAATACTAGAAAATATGAATATAGTGTCATCAACTCTTTAGATCACATTATGTCTATTTCTGCGGGCCTAAAATGTGAGGTACCTAAAGGGTCTCTTTGGGTACTTTTAAATTATTTTTTTTCTTCTAAAGATCACATACAAAAAATAAAAAGGCTATATCAATGTGCA